CAACTGTGATTACAGGACTAATGATGCTTTAAACAAACAATATAATGACTGTCATCAGTGACAGCAGGGGCTTCCTGTGGGAGAACTTGAACAGGAGGGTCACCAGCAGCTGGCCAGCCCCAGGGGTGCTCCTGGCAAAGGTGGGTATGACCAAGCTGAGTTCGCCTCACTTACAGGTGACCCTCCAGATAGGCTGCACCTTGTTTTCCATTCCAAGATCTGATCTATATCCTGTAGCCAAACCCTTCCCTAAGGAGGCACTGGGACAGCAAGGCACAGGCTCTTTAAACCAGACCTGCTTTGCCTTTCAAATCTCCAAACAGCCCTCTGAGGTCCTTGGTTCTACTTCAAAGGTTCTCAACCTCTTTAATACGCAGGCAGTTGCTAAGCAAAGGCTATTTTGCTCCAACAAGTAATGCAGAGCTCTGCTCTAAATTTGTCCCCCATCGATGAGTCATTTTCACTGCTGCCCAGGCAGATGAGCTTCTGCCCTTGAACCAACCGAAACCGTCCTCCTCCTGTCTCCACATCCTGAACGTGACAACTTTCCAGGGCACGAAAGTTCTTAAAAGTCAATAGCAAAGCAATAATACGTTTAGTACTGTGGTGACGCACAAGGTGGAAAGCATGTGGGAGAAAGGCTTGTGGTGATCTAAGACGTCATCTTCTGGTGCTGCCAACTCCTGTATTGTTGGGGTCACCTGTCCTCAGTTTCCTGTTCTGTAAAATGGGAATCATCATAATACGGGTTTGTCAGGTGGCTAAATATGCAATGTGATAATGCATATGGAAACTCCTTTGTCAGTTGTAAAGTGCTGTGTGCACATTAGTTATTGGATGGAAAGTTGAGAGAACAGACCAAAGGATAACAAATATTTGGGCTACCGACACTTACATAAACCATTCAGGTGCCCTTGGTCGGGTCCCTCGCCCATCCTCCTAGTCGACTATTCCAAGCCTTCACCTGCTCAGCGCTCAAGGGAAGCAGAGCCATGTTTTCCTTTCCTTCTTCGGTAAGAGAGCACATTCCTGTTTGACAGAGCTGCTCTGCATCCAAGTTCCCCCAAGAGTTCTCTTCTCCTGCTGCACGTCTCCAAAGTATCATATTAGGAAAAAGACTGGGCTTTTGCCTTAGATGTAAAATTAGTCAAATTTGTCAGCATTTTATGACATTTGCAGTGCTCACAATGATTGTTACTTATAAATGTGCATAAACATGTAGCAGCAATATTAAGGAAAATTTTGTAAACAAAAAAAGAGAGAAAGAAAGAAATCACCCTATTCCCACTACTCCAAAACATTAACCGGGGTTTTAAAATTATATTGTTTCCATAGTTTTGAGTCTTTGTTGATAAACATTTTTCTATTTTATTGAACTATGAGACACATAGAAAAATCACAAATATACAAATTTAAGCATTTTCATGGAGTGAACATGTGACCACTACCCAGGTTAAAGAATACAACAGTAATGGCTCCCTAGAAGCACACCCAACTTCATGCCCCATTCTAGTCACTAGCACCTTCTACCCTCAAAGTAGACAATTTCCTGGCAGCTAACATACATCAGCTTTCTACATTTTACTTTTATGTATATGAAATAACATATACACTCTTCTGTTTTTTTTTTCACTCTGAACTATGTTTGTGATTTATCCATGTCATTTCATGAAACAGTATTTCATTTATTTTTATAGTGACCAAACAACATTTTCATACTGTTCTCAAATTTTTTGGTCTCAAGATTTGTTTACCCTCTTAAAAATTATTGAGATTTCAAAGAGCTCTTGTATCATATAGATTGCATCTACTGATATTTACTGGGTAAGAAATTAAAACAGAATTTTTAAAATGACTTTTATTAATTAATTTTAAAATAGCAGTAATAAATCTATGTAATTTATATGCAAGCATAAATAACATTTTAAAAAAATTATATAGTTTTTTAAAATTGTGAAAAGAGTAGTATTGTCTTATATTTTTGCAGATTCTTTAATATCTATCTGGCTTAGTAGAAGGCAGATGGATTTTCATATATGCCTTTTATTCAATTAGTTGCAATTCTTTTTTTTTTTTTTTTTGGATGAAATAAGTGAAGAAAATCTGATCTTTCATGGATATGAAGTTAGAAAATAAAGGAGTATTTTCTGGGGGGAGGGCATGCTGTGTGGCCTTGTGGGATCTTAGTTCCCTGACCAGGGTTTGGATCCACACCTCCTGAATTGAAAGTGCAGAGTCATAACACTGAATCACCAGGGAAGTCCCAAGAAAGGAGTATTTTAATAAACTTTTCAGAAAATTATAGATATTATTCTTTGATACTACACCAAAATTCAACAAGTAGCAGTTTCTCGGAAGTTATTTGAAACTTTTATCAGTGAAATTTTTGTACTCTGTTACAGTAAAATGTATTTATTATCTTGCAGTTTGAATGGGTATTTCAACCCATACATGAATTGGAACATGCGTATAACAAATAGTGAAAACATTGGTTCCCTGAGTCGAAAGATCTCCCAAATGTTGATTTCCATTATGCAACGTGGAAAAATCATATTCATACACCACCAATCTATCAGAAAAATATTTATCTACTGAGAAACTGTCAAGCTCACAAAGGCAGTTACAAGTTTTCCAATATTCTAACATTTGAAATTTGAAAGTCCAGATTTTATTATAGGCTGCAAATACTGTCAGTGGTTTTATTTTATATGACAGTTTCATTTTCTTCATTTTCAAGAAAATATCTGCCAAATGCCCAAGTCTTCATAACTTTAGTTTTCTCTGTCAGTCATTCTTTCAAGGGCTTCCCAGGTGGGTCATCAGTAAAGAATCCACCTGCCAAACCAGGAGACATGGGTTTGATCCCTGGGTTGGGAAGATCTCATGGAGAAGGAAATGGCAACCCACTTCAGTATTCTTGCCTGAGAAATCCTGTGGACAGAGGAGATTGGTGGGCTACAATCCTTGGAGTTGCAAAATAACTGTACTTGACTTAGCAACTAAACAACAACAACAACATTCTTTCAAATAAAAATGATGTCCTATTCCAAAAGTAGCTAGTTCAGTTCACAACTCTAACAATTATACAAATGCTTTTCTTTGAAATGACCACTATGGCTTTTGGTATTCAGAAGTGCTTTATGTAGATTTCCCATTTTATCACATAGACTATTAAAAAGTGTATTCAAAGACTGAGATTTCATAAAATTGATCCTGCACTTTTTCATCAATGACATTCTTAAGTGAAGATTTTTTTTTCCCTATAAGTTCCTACTGATGAGGACTATGTACAATGATTGCTGTACAGTTGGTGCCAATGTCTTGATTTGGACTATGAAAATTGTTTTACTCATCGTGGCTTTTGGACCATCAATGCACATGTCAACACAGTGAAAAAAGGCAAAGGTGGTCTAATATTTTGAAAATAGTTTGGACTTCACAGATTCCCTGAAAGGGTATTAAGAGCCAGCAGGGATTCATGGATTCATGAACCACATTTTAAGAACCATTACCACAGAGGATATAATATATGACTATACCATAATTTATCTAGTCTATTCCTGATGGAAGCCTGCATTGTTCTCACTTTGGGACTACTTCAAACACTGCTGTTATCAACTTTCTCACATGTCTTCTGGAATACACATGCATGAATTTCTGTTAAGTATATATCTAGAAATGAAATTGTTGGTTCACTGGGTATGTGTATACTCATGTTTTAAGACACTACCAAACAATGTTCCAAAATGGTTGTGCCAATTCAGCAGTGTAAGAGAGTTCCAGTTGCTCCATGTGATGATCAAAACATGACATTATTAGCTATTTGAATTTAGATATTCTTATTGTGGTTTTAGTTTATATCCTCCAGATGACAAATGAAATTGACCTCTTTGTTATATGTGCATTGGTCATTGACATCTTTTTNTTGCATCCCAAGAATACATTCCATTTCATCATGGTATCCAATTCTAGTAATGTGCTATTGAATTGTTTGCCAATATTTTATAGAGGATTTTTATATCTGTGTTTATTATGGATATTGGTTTTTAGTGTTCTTTTTTTGTGGTATCTTTGCCTGGCTTTGGTATGAGTGATGCTGGCCTCTTAGGATGAGTTGAAAAGTATTCCCTCTTCTATTTTTTTTTTTTTTGAAATATAAGAAGGTTTCTTATTAATTCTTCTTTGAATGTTTGCTAGAAATCTCTGGTGAAGCCATCTAGTCCTGGGCATTTTGGTGTTTGTGGGGGAAATGTTTGATTACTATTTAGTCTCTCTATTTGTTATTGATCTGTTCAGATTTTCTAAAACTTAACTCTTTTCTAATGTATGCATTTGATGGCATATATTTCCCTCTCAGCATTGTTTTATCTATGCAACACAAATTTTGATATGTTCTACTTTCAATTTTATTTAATACAATGTATTTTGTAAAATTTCCCTTGAGACTTACTTTTTGATCCATGGGTTATTTAGAAGTATACTGTTTAGTTTCCAAGTGTTTGGAGATTTCCTGTTACTGACTTCAGATTGATTCTGTTATGATCAGAAAATATGTTTTGCATATTTCAATTTTTTATACATTTGTTGAAGTTTATTTTATGGTCTGGCATGTAGTTTGTCTCAGTATATATTTTGTGGGGGCTTGAAAATGTGTATTCTACTATCGTTGGGTGCCCTGTTCCATAAATGTTACTTGATCATTTTTTAGAATTCGTTTTGATTTAAATATTATGTTCTAGCTTTTCTAGTTATTCCTGGGAGGAAGATTTATCTGCTATAACCTGGTTCAATGTAGTTAGAAGTAAAAGTAACCCCAAAACATGTATGTGAATCTGTATGTGTATGTAACAGCATAGGTGATTCATGTATTCATGAGGTTGTGAATGATTTGACCAACAAGTCCTGTGACTGTTACTTCCTCTGGCACTTGGCCAGAGCAGGAATTTCTTATCTAAAATCACAGCTGTTGCTAGCTGTGGCTTGCTTTCTGTCTTCTCCAGGACTTTTTGTCATGTATTGAGAACTACAGACGAAGAGGACAAGAACTATATGCATCTCTATACAAAGATCATGTACAGGTAAGAAGCAAGACAGTGTCTTTCTCTGGAGATTTCCTGTTACTGACTTCAGATTGATTCTGTTATGATCAGAAAATATGTTTTGCATATTTCAATTTTTTATACATTTGTTGAAGTTTATTTTATGGTCTGGCATGTAGTTTGTCTCAGTATATATTTTGTGGGGGCTTGAAAATGTGTATTCTACTATCGTTGGGTGCCCTGTTCCATAAATATGTTACTTGATCATTTTTTAGAATTCGCTTTGATTTAAATATTATGTTCTAGCTTTTCTAGTTATTCTTGGGAGGAAGATTTATCTGCTATAACCTGGTTCAATGTAGTTAGAAGTAAAAGTAACCCATAAACATGTATGTGAATCTGTATGTGTATGTAACAGCATAGGTGATTCATGTATTCATGAGGTTGTGAATGATTTGACCAACAAGTCCTGTGGCTGTTACTTCCTCTGGCACTTGGCCAGAGCAGGAATTTCTTATCTAAAATCACAGCTGTTACTAGCTGTGGCTTGCTTTCTGTCTTCTCCAGGACTTTTTATCATGTATTGAGAACTACAGACGAAGAGGACAAGAACTATATGCATCTCTATACAAAGATCATGTACAGGTAAGAAGCAAGACAGTGTCTTTCTCTGTACAGTAGACTGGAATCCACCTTGAACATGAAATAAAGATTCACAAGAGCCTTTGGTTTAAACTCTAAATTGGCTCAGAAAATAGTTGATCATTAGTAAGTCGGTTCTACCTGCAAGACCTACGCCATGGAATTTGGATCCACAGTGTTAGCAGCTGAAGAGATAGGCAGTGTGTCCATTCACTTATCTACTCACTCATCTACTAGAAAATAGGCATCCAGAGCCCAGGGTGCCTCAGACTTTGTGCTGGGAGCTAGGGGCATGACTCTGTTATCTATGTCCCTTGGACAGGCCCTTGTATGTCAACTCCTCACTATTTGAGTTCACTGACTTCATTCAGGACTAGCAATACAATTAAATTCAGTTGCCATTGGGGGAAAAATAAGATGAATCATTTAGGATTGCATCCTTTATTTAGGAATATCCCTCATCACACTTGTTCCATTTCAAGACAGGCGACACTATCTAAACTTTCAAATCAGCATCTAGTCAAGTTGTGCTCTGTGGTCCTTGGTGAATTTCTGCTGAAATTTGAAAGATGGAAAGTTCATGGGAAAGGACGGAACCTCAGCAGAGGCTCTGAGCCCAGAAGGCAAGGGTCCAGTCTCCTGGAACGTCAGCCAGGCTCATTTTCAGCATGGGGCCTGTCTGGGGCTCAGAGAGTGCTTGAGAAAGTTGTGTAGAGCTTTACTGTTGATTGAGGTAGTTTTTAGAAAATCAGCATTTTGAAGCTAATCCATAAGGACACTTTCCAAGTGTTTAAATATTTAAGACAGATTGTTTTGATGTTTTAAAGAATGCAGATATTATCACTGTCTGACGGAGATGATGGGGTCTGGAGCATTCACCCCACTTTCTTTTAAGCGACAGCACACTTTCCCAATGTAGGCCTCACTCCACTTACTGAGAAGTCAAGTCCAAGGTCTGAAAAGAAATAAGGCCCATGAAATATGCCATGTTCTTCAAGGACAGCTTCTCCTAAGTACACTCCATGAGGTCCTCCCAAGAGGGTTGAGATAATAAGATTCAGACCCCCACCCACACGGCTCTCAGTAACAGGTTACATAAGACTTCTTCAACTGGGCAGTTTACCTACACCCAAGAGGTCGGTGGAGATGCAGGTGCTCCTGACATGACAAGATAGCATCACCCAGTGCCCTGGAAGCTAACCCAAGCATCACTACACTCCATCATCTCATCACCAGCAAATCATGCAGTTCTGATATTCACTCTCCAAATTTCTCATCACTCCAGAGGTACTGGTGGAAACAGATGCCTCTGCTCTGGTTCTGCCAGGATGCCCCTTTGCCATTTCCAGTTCTATTCTTTTCACTGTGGTCTGGCTGCTCTGGGCTCTGCTCTGCCATATACCCGGGCTGTCTGCTCTTNCTCTACGTATCCATTAGGTTTTGGTCCCAGCTTTTTCAGATGTAAGTATCAGAAACTCAACCCAAACTGGCTTAGGCAACACATGAAATGTTTTGTGTTACTGAAAGATCCAGGAGAAGATCAGGCTTCTTCTGGAAGAAGAGCTGGATCCAAATATTCAAGCTCTTCTCTAAGGAATCTGGCTCCTCTCTCCCTCTTTCTTTTTCACACACACGCATGCAAACATACACACACAAATGTACAGGATTACTATAGTCTGAGGCACCAGGGCACATAGAGTATGTGAGAGTATGTGAGGCTTGAGGGAACTCATGCTCTGCTCCCCAGGTTATACTTCTTGGAACCAGGAAGAGCTCATATGAAGGATGAAAAATCATCTAACTTGTTCAGAGGGACTGCCTCATTGCCGAGCGACCTGCCTATATAGGCTGTGTCTACCTCAGGTGCATATACATCATGTGCTTTTTCCTGATGGACATAAGGTTGCCAAGAGCAGGGGTGTGTGGCCTTGAGTATGTACACACCCACCTCTTTGCAGTCTTCTCTGTGTGGGCTCTTGAGACCAATAGTTCCAATCCCAATAAATGATGCTCAGTGACCCATCCTATAACCATTCATCACCCACCAAAGTCAGATCAGCCACACTCCAGCACTGGGACTGGAAGTAGAGAAGGGCTGGTTGCCAAGAGGAAAGCCTCAATGAGGCTACCCAAGAATTTTTATTTAGCCAAGAATCATAGCTCCCTCTAATTCACCAGCATCCCTGCCTCTGGGTCTGATGTGGCATTTGGCCCATTAGCAGTTTGAACTGAAAGAGAACTTTACCCTGTGCACAAACATGGGCTTTATGAACACCTTGCAGGTTTAGAAACTCAGGACTTTTGCTTATTTAGTCACATAATGTCCTCTGTCCTGGGACCACATATAGCCTTCTATTATGGATTAAACAATTGTTCATCTCTGAGGGATGAATGAGGGATCCTATCACCGACGCTCGTATGTCTGACTACAGATATTCAGGAAAACACATTTGCCCTGCGATGCAGACTCAGGCAGCCGTGAACCTCCAGGTTGCACAAATGGCGCCCTAAGGTGGAAGGGATGATCTTAAAAGACTAATTTGAAACTCCAGATGGACAACCCAGTAGCATGAGATTGTTCATCCTCTGTGAAACTCAATATGGAACTACAAATGCAACAATAGTCTCCAAGGAGCTGAAACACTTTCCCCAAACAAGTGTTCATTTCATATAACTAAATCCATATAAAAGACTTTGGGTAGTCATTATTTTCCTGGAGTCTTTTATTAAAAAATTGGAGTACTTGTAAAATGCTATGATCATTTTGGGTATGAATTTAAGAACTGTGGAGAAACAAAGTAATCTTGTTGTGAAATAAGATTTGCTTTATTCACAATAATAATACTAACTGCTTAAGTTTGCGAGGCACCATATTAAACTCTCGAAAATATTGTCTCATTCGATCCTTATATAATCCCATGGTTTTATTATTGTGGTAATATTACTAACCAAATTTGACTGATGAAGATTCTGAGTCTCCTTCAGATTAAGTGGCTAGTGAGAAGCATAAATATTGTGACAACCCAAGTTCATCTGACACCAAATACCATGTGCTTAGAACTGTACCATCTGTCTTGTTTTTGAGACAATTTTCAGGCTCTGAGAATGATTTTCCCATTTAAAATGGTCCATATTTTCAGGATCTACCTCTAAGTCTGCCAGTCTTTGAAGTAATACTGGCAGAAATTAGGATTTAATAAAATGATACCAGGGCCCTAGGAAAGGAATCAGGCATGCAGTTTGAACCTAAAGGCTCTGGAATCAGACAGACTGGGTTTCAATCTTAGCTTGGTCGGCTGTTGGTCACCTTGGGGAAATCACTTCTCCTCTTCTAGACTTCATTCCTTCATGAGGATAATAGAAATTACTTACAAGTTCCCGCATTCACTTTCAGTGTCATTGTATGGTGGAGATGAGATAGAGCAGGTAAGGGGCTCAGCTTAATACATGGCAATGAGTTTCTTCTCTATGTCACATTTATAAGGTCTGTGCTTCTTGTCATTAACACCTTCACCTTTCAGTTTTCTTAAAAATTAAAATGTAGGGTGCATACCATCAAATATGTGAATAGTTGCAAAAGTTCACCCTGCAGACAAATTTGATTCTGCTGTCCAAACTGAATTGAAATGTTTTCTTGAAAGATGATGTAGGGAACTTCACTGTGACATACAAAAGTGGTTTGGGGTGTTGATGTATTTTGTTAGAGGTTTGAGTTATACTCTAGCAGAAGATGTGGGCTTCCTCAGTGGCTCAGTGGTAAAGAATCTGCCTGCAATGCAGGAAACGTAAGAGATGTCGGGTTCGATCCCTGGGTCAGGAAGATCCCCTGGAGGAGGAAATGGCAACCCACTCCAGTATTCTTGCCAGGAAAATCCCATGGACAGAGAAGCCTGGCAGGCTACAGTCCATAGTAGGTGGGGTTATTTTCACTAATATCAAAGGTTTGGGCCTCTGTGAACAGTCTCATTGCACTTTCAGTCCAGACACTAGAAGGAGTGCTTTCAGTAGGACTGGGTAGGGGCCGTGGTAAAATTCCCTGTCTACTTTGAAGGGCAGGGGCTATGGCAGGCTGCTGTGTCTGTTCTATCAAATAGCTCCTCAGTCCTCTGATGAGTAGTATGGGGACCTTTGGGACAGCACAGCACACAGCAGTCATGAAGCTCTATGGGCCAAAGGGCAGAGGATTTTTCTCCTCCTCGAACCTGAGTTAAATGGTCTCAAAGCTGGACAAACTGATTTCTTCTCCCTACCTGGTCCTGGCTCCAGAGATTTCACTACACACCCTGCAGGTGCGTGGGGCTGCCTTTATAGGTTATTGTCTTCAGGCAGTTATGAGGGGCTCTGTCTGTTCATCCCAGGAGGTTTGGGGCCGGGCCGATAAGGAGCTGTGTCCAGGGGTGATTCTATACTTCTGTTTCCCAGAGACGGAGATGTGGCAACATCAAGGCAGCCAATGCGTGGACCAGAATCCAGGAGCAGCTTTTTGGGGAGCTGGGCTTGTGGTATCAGATGGCAGAAGCCACACCCTGCTCCCAGTGGGAACTGGATTGGAGAGAAGGACCAGCTCGTATGCGGAAACGCATCAGACGCTTATCTCCACTGGAGGCCCCGAATCAAGAAATGCTCAAGGTAAGAATTAGATGCAGCAAGACAGGATGCTTCCAGACAGGAAATGTGTAGGGAAGTGTCTCCTTAGCTTTTCCATCTGGTATTTCCATCAGGAGTGCTTTGGCATGAACAGATAGGAAGGAGAATGTCCACAGTTAACTGTAGGGGTGCTGTATTGTATTCTTGATGTTGTTTGACAGAAGAATCACTAATTCACCAAGTACATAAAAGGGATGCTCTAACTACAGTCTGAATGAATGTAGATATGAGTGGTTCATATCTACACCACCAATCCCACCAACCTAATACCATGCTGACATCCATAAAAGTTCATTAGAATGATCTGGATTCCAGCTTTTGAAAAGAGCAATGTGATGGACATAGTCTACATGCACAAGTTGTGTCCTGGAGAAGTCATAACCAGCCCTCATATGGGCATTATTGTGCAGGCAAATCCCATATCAAGTCTTACAGTGGAAATAGCTGGAACTCAGCTATTTCTGCAAGCTTGAGCCAGTGACCTATTTAGTCCAAATGACACTGAAACTGGATTAGATTCCCAGGTAAGAAAATCTGGACAGTCCCTGGGACTTGGCTGTAATGAAGCTTGGACTCTCTGTCAAACTTAGGTTTTTGCCTTTTAAATGATGAAGAATCATCCTTGGATTGGTACTGAATATAGGAAGAACCTGTTAACAGCATTTCATGTTCTCACTGAATGATCCTGGTTTAAGAGATTCTAAAAAGCTGTCTTTCCAAACCCTGGAACTCAAGATATTTTCTTCTGCATCCACCTGAAGTTACAATGTTGGGTTTATTCTCTAGTCCATCACCTCAGAATCTTTTACCCACGTTAAATCCTTTGTAAAATCTAATGAAAATTTATATTTAATTTATTCAGTAGACATTTTAATTTTTAATGTATTATCAATAAACATCTGGCAATATATAGTATTTTTCCCTCAAATACATTCCTTAGGAGATGGAGGCAGGAAAAATAAGCCTACCCATGGTGCTGATGGCAAGGCTAAAGGGTGGCTGTGGAACCTGGCCTCTGGTCCCTTGGGCTGCCCCAGACCCTGTCTCTGGTCCCCCCTCCAGGGTGGCCCATACCACAGACAGCCAGGATGCTCTCTACTCCCATTTGGCATATCTTTGGTAATTACTGTAAATCTGACTTAATGGAAAATTGTGGGTTTTTTCCCCTTTGACTCAGGAACATTAATATTTGCATTTGATCGTGGTCCTTTAGGATTTGGCATTTTGCCCCCCTTGCATCTGAGTCTTGAGTGTGTGAGTGATTCAAAGGGTCAAATGTGTGCATGCGTGTGTATGTGTATTTGTGCAAATCTTTGGAATGGGGGCTGGGGCACATAGGTATCCAAATTTAATATCTGTTTCTCTGGTTTTATTTTAGGAAAGCCAAAATAGAAATGGCAGTGTTTCTCAAATGAACACTGAAAACCAAGGTATTCAATTTATCTATTTTTTAATTCAATAGTTAAACCAATTTTTTTATTTATTTAACATCTTCTTAAAGGTATCAAGTTAACATATTGTAGGAAAAGAATGCTGCAAGTCTAGAGAAGAGAGTGTAAGCCTTTCATCACTGTGCTCTTGCAGACATGAACACTCTATTAAGGGAAGGATTTTGTGTTTATGTTGCAACAGTAAGAACATTTTTCAGGGAAATTATCTTGTCAATGTGCTCTGTGAGGGAAATCTTAAAAGTGCCCTGTCCAATACAAATACATGTTCAATATGTGACCTAAAACACCTAGGAGGAAAATAGGAAAATGTTTTAGAGCAAAAGTGGATGGAAGAGATATTTAATACTTACACTGAATTCTCTGATTATAAGATGACAGATATAGTGGTCATTATTATTTCTCCAGTTTGAAAATGTACTTTGAATTCCTTATGTTTACTTTTTATCTAATACTCGTGGAGGAACTTGGTTGAATTGATATGTTGATAATCTAGTTTATTTTCAGAGATAATTTTGCCCCATACACTTCCAAGTGAAAGTGAAAGTCTCTCAGTCATGTCCAGCTTTTGCGATGGCATCCTCTAGGCCAGAATACTGGAGTGGGTAGCCTTCCCTTCTCCAAGGGATCTTCCCAACCCAGGGATCGAACCCAGGTCTCCTGCGTTGCAGGCAGATTCTTTACCAACTGAGTCACCAGGGAAGGCCCCAACACATCCAAATACATACCAAATACACACTCAGACACGTGCACTACATTTCAGTTTTTGTGTTTCTACCAAGGATGTGCCTTTTGTTTCAAACACTCCCTGTCTGTGCGTTTCACTGTGTCCTAGGCTGCAGCTGATGTTGTCTCCTTAACCAAGTGACAACTTCCTAGAGCTGATTAAACTCATCTTGTTCAGTGCCTTAACCCCGGATTTTGTGTGGAGCTTGCTATCTTGCCAGTCTGCAGCAACGAAGCCCAGAAATAAGGATCTTGAGCCCTGATCCTGTGTTGATTTGGGGGTCCCACTGTAGCACAGGACTTGGGATGACATTGTAACACCCATTTTCTGGTTTCTCTTCTTTTCAGCCCAAGTGCCATAACCCTAAGGTTAGAGGGACAGTCTGCCTGCTCTCCTTCTCAAAAGGAGACTGGGTGGCTGTGGAAGATGCAGTGGCTGGTTCTATGAGGACCAGGGCCACAGGCTGCTGAGTCCCCTCATTCACCACACAGAAGACTGCCCTGGTCACCTAGGACCCCAGGCCTTCTCTGTGTTTCCAGCGTGGACCCCCAATTCCCAGTAGGGAACTCAGGAAGGGGAAAAGAAAGGGCTGTGATCTCCACCATGCCTTCGGGGGTGCCCATATCTGCACAGTGCTTTCTTTGCCTGTGATGACTGTTGCTGTGAGCAGCAGTCACTTTCACTCACCCAGATGTGAGATACCCAGGTGGGGAGAAGTTCAAAGAGATAAGCATCCTGGCACCAAGAGAATGACCAGGAGCCCCCTTGACCTGGCTGCCATGTGCAATGTGCTGCTCAAGGCCGGTGGACACCCGGGACAGGGTGGAGGAACAAGATCTAGAGATATACATAGGTCTATGCTTAGCTGGTACCCAAATGCACGTGTCCAGGAGTGCATCCTCGGGAAATAAGTCTGTATGTACACACACTGATTGCAGCACTGTAGATTTTGGTAATACAGAAATAGATAATAGTTGTATCTCTAAAAGAATAGGAAATAGGTTGAGTGTTTATGGAAGTCACACAATAGATTATTACACAGCCACTTAAGTTGCTTTCTAAGAACTTTTAATGGGATGGGAAAGTATTCATGGCATAACTTTTTTTGAGCAAAATTTAGAAAAGAAAAGCTATAAATTCAATATAATTCTCATCATGTCAAAATTACATGTGTGCATACATATACGTGGGGCTTTCCAGGTAACTCAGTGGTAAAGAATCAGCCTGCCAATGAGGAGATGCATGAGACACGGGTTTGATCCCTGGGTCAGGAAGATCCCCTGGAGGAGGAAATGGCAACCGACCTCAGTATTCTTGCCTGAAAAACCCCATAGACAAAGGAGCCTGGCGGGCTACAGTCCATGGGATTGCAAAGAGACAGACACAACAGCATTAACACACGTGTATTTCTGCACATATACATATGTGTACAGAAACGAGATATAGTACACCAAAGTATGGCCAGTGAGGGCAAACAGCCTAGAGATGAAAAGGACTCTAGCGAGGGACTTGGTTCAGATCCTGCCTCAGATGTTAGTAGCCATATGACTTTGAGTCAAGTAATTAGCCTCTGTCAGTATCTTCATTTGTCAAGTGAAGATGGAATGGAATCTACAACCTAGGTAGGAGTAGAGGGAAAATGTCATTCAAGGATCCAGCACAGAGAAAGTGCTCACTAAATGGAAGCTATTGTTATTTGCTCTCTCTCTGGATGCATGGGCAATATTTGTTTAATTTTTCACAATTTTTGTATTTCTCCCAACTTCATGAGTTTTCTAAGTTTTTTCTTTTTTACAATAAGAAGAGAGTTTCCGTAATTAGGAGGGCAAAGGTCACTTTTTAAAAAGAGTGAACAGAGTGAAGTTGAGACAAAGCAAATCTTGATGACCCTCTAGGGAACTGCTTTACTGATTAATGAAGGTGAATTTTTAAATGTCGCCCTGTGGTCACTGGAGACCCGAGAGCAACTGGGCTTAGATACACTTTCTGGAGTACATCAACCTGCAGGCATGTTCACCTCACAATGAGGTCAGAGGGGTATGTCCACTTTCAGAAACAGTGAGGGACACCCTGGGTTCCACACCGTTCACAGCTGCTCTGAGACTTTGCAGTTCCTCCCAGGGCCTCGGACCTAGGCTGCACACTTCCCTCATGATGCAAGGTGGCCCATGCCCAAAACACATGTCCCCTTTTTGCTGTTGCAGATGAGCTGACACTGAAGGAAGGCGAGAGCGAGAGAGACGAGGTGGTGGACTGCACCCAGCTGACCTTCTTCCCCGCCTTGCGTGAAAGCCTGCACTCTGAAGATTTCTTAGAACTATGTCTGGAAAGACAAGTCATCTTACAAGAGCTTCTTGACCATGAAAAGGTAACACAGCCCATCACAATTACTCTTTAAAGATTATCAGACATGAGAGAACTCAACTTTTTGCACTCACATGAGAGGTGATATCTCTATTCACCATGAAGAAGTGAAGGAGCAAAAAAAACCCAGCATACTCCTAAATTTATGGGCCCAGAGCAAGTATGTGAATGCCCATACATCTTGCATCAAAATGTTTAGATGTAAATCATGTTGTTAATCTGTTAAATGAAATATATTCTAATGTCCTACATTGACCTTTATAATAACCTGGGAGGCCAATTTCAACTTAGAATTCTTGACCTTCTTATGGTTCAGCGTCTTGATCCCCTGCTCACAGCCTGACCACTCTAAAGTTTCATCCCACACCTTCAAAAGGGGCCTTGGTGGATGTGTTTGGACACTGACCCATTTGTCCCAGCTGTCCCCACATTCCTCACCCTGAAATCAGCTCCCCTTGGCCACCACTCAAGCCTAGAGGAAGCATACTCATGGCACCATGAGCCCCGGAAAGGGTGGGCCCACGCATAGTGTGCACAGCCAGGAGGCAGGCTGGGCAGTTAGCAGGGAAATCCACGGTTGGGAATGCCTGGGGCTGGGTTGTGGGATCCCAGGCTGTTGGTGTGCATGACTTCATGATGCAAGGTGGCCCATGCCCAAAACACATGTCCCCTTTTTGCTGTTGCAGATGAGCTGACACTGAAGGAAGGCGAGAGCGAGAGAGACGAGGTGGTGGACTGCACCCAGCTGACCTTCTTCCCCGCCTTGCGTGAAAGCCTGCACTCTGAAGATTTCTTAGAACTATGTCTGGAAAGACAAGTCATCTTACAAGAGCTTCTTGACCATGAAAAGGTAACACAGCCCATCACAATTACTCTTTAAAGATTATCAGACATGAGAGAACTCAACTTTTTGCACTCACATGAGAGGTGATATCTCTATTCACCATGAAGAAGTGAAGGAGCAAAAAAAACCCAGCATACTCCTAAATTTATGGGCCCAGAGCAAGTATGTGAATGCCCATACATCTTGCATCAAAATGTTTAGATGTAAATCATGTTGTTAATCTGTTAAATGAAATATATTCTAATGTCCTACATTGACCTTTATAATAACCTGGGAGGCCAATTTCAACTTAGAATTCTTGACCTTCTTATGGTTCAGCGTCTTGATCCCCTGCTCACAGCCTGACCACTCTAAAGTTTCATCCCACACCTTCAAAAGGGGCCTTGGTGGATGTGTTTGGACACTGACCCATTTGTCCCAGCTGTCCCCACATTCCTCACCCTGAAATCAGCTCCCCTTGGCCACCACTCAAGCCTAGAGGAAGCATACTCATGGCACCATGAGCCCCGGAAAGGGTGGGCCCATGCATAGTGTGCACAGCCAGGAGGCAGGCTGGGCAGTTAGCAGGGAAATCCACGGTTGGGAATGCCTGGGGCTGGGTTGTGGGATCCCAGGCTGTTGGTGTGCATGACCTCTGGGTATGCCTGAAGGAGGGTTAGGGGGTCTCCCTGAAGTACAGGCACAGAGGTGGTCTCTCTTACACAAATCTAAGTAAGTATGGAAGATGAAGCACTTGTCTTAAAGTAAAATGGAACTGAACTGAAATCCCAACGTGGCCACATACTAAATAAATGGCCTGTTACTTCATCTTCGTGAGCCTCAGTTACTCTCATCTTTAATATCGCAGCCATAGCAACCATTTCACAAAATTCTCATAAGGCTTAAATGGAATAATGGAAGCAAAGTGACTAGTGCAAAGCCCAGCTCATGTGAGCTGGCTTATTAAAGACCAGTTCTCTTCCCTTTTCAAAGGCCGTCTATCTCATCTATCAACACTTCTGTCTGGGTTGCTATGCATGTAAGTGAAGAAGAGGCCCCAGCAAAGCAGAGGAGTGGGCAGGGCAGGGCCAGAAAGTCATGCGGGGTCTACACAGAGGTGAATGCATGAGGGCTGAGAGCTAGCCTGGCCACAGGGTAGAGAAGAGCAGAGCAGAGCTATAGGCCACTGAGTAAGCAGCTCGGATTTCCAGGCCCAGGTGACAAGCTCAGAGAGTCTGTGATGCGTTTCAGCAAGGAGCAGAAACTGAACTGAAGCCTGTCCTTTCCAGGGGCAGGTTCCTGGTAGAGACCCCTGGAGGGTGTCAGATGGGGATTTGCTCCTTCTAGGCATTGGGTAAAAGGACTGGCTTGAAGTGCATTGGCCAAAGGGATGACTGCTGAGCTTCTACCACATTACTTAGTTGCTTTCAGATTTGGGTAACAGTTAGATCAACACAGTCCTGGAAGAACAAGGTCCTGATATGTGCTTAACCCACAGCCTTCAGCCAGAGAGCACATTTGCAAGCCCCCATCATATCTTGCCACCACGCCTTGCTCATGCTGGTTCATCTACCTGCAGTGTTCTGCATGCTAGACTACTGGCAACTGACTCACCGAAGCCCGTCTTGACCTGTCCCCAATCTGAGACCTAGGAAGCTGTCTCTCCTTCATTCCCTGTGTCCTCTGCCTACTACATCTCCTCCTACCTTTGCCCCTGGCATACAGGCTAACCTTCACCACTTCACCTGTCTCTCTCTCTCTCTCTCTCACTGTACTGATGCTCATACACGGAGGGACCCTCATTTTTTCCTGAGGTGCCCAACTAGGGACATGCCTAGAGAAGCCAGTCAGTAAACACTGACGAATGAAGATTTATTATGAGTGCGTGTGTGCTAAGTAGCTTCAGTTGCGTCTGACTCTTTGTGACCCATGGACTGTAGCCCACCAGGCTCCTCTGTCCGTGGAATTATCCAGGCAAGAGTACTAGAGTAGGTTGCCATGCCCTCCTGCAGGGGGTTTACCTCCTGCAGGTTCTTCACCACTAACGCCACTGGGAAGCCCCAAAGATTTATTATATTTACATTCCTTTTATTTTGGCTATGGAAGTAGTGTTAGTCTACTGTGTTAAAGTTTAAAAAAAGGATATTAAAACATATATATGTAACATATATATGTTTATATGTGTGTATACATATTCATAATATCCAGCTGCCGAGTACTAACAGCTGATGACAGTTTGAACACATCATCTGTTAATATGTTCATATAGGTAAATGGATGTTTAGTAACTGCCCAGTCAATTGAAAACAGCTAAGAGATCATGCTTTCTTACTTTAAAAGCCTTTCTTTGATTTGTGCTCTTAAAGGATCATGTGAATTCTCAGCATGGGGCAGCTTTGCTCCCAGGGGCCACTGCCAATGTCAGGAGACACATTTAGTCGACATGACTTGGTGGGGATGGGTTGCTAGTGGCGTGAGGTGGGCAGAGGCTAAGGATGCTGCTTCACATCCTCCAGTGCTCAGGAGAGAAGAGACTAATTATTCAGCCCCAATTGCCCATAGTGCCAAGGTGAGAAATCTTGATATGAAGGATGCATATTACACAGATTATTGAGCCCTAGCCATCCCTCCCTACTTCCCTGATAGGGTAAGGAAATTATATTGTCTCCATATTGACATGTAATTCTTTATATTGTTTTGATAAGAAGAGAGCAACGGCAATGCTTTGTTTTCCTTTGGTATATTAATTTTCTATTACTGCCATAACAAATTACCAAAAACTTGGTGACTTAAAACAACACACATTTATTATCTCAAAACTCCGAGCACAACATCGCTCAGCTGGTTTTCTGCCTAAGAGTCTCACAGGGGCTGAAACTGAGGTGTTGGCAGGACCGCAGGTCTCTCTAGAGACTCTGGGAATGGATGCACCTCTGAGCTCATTCAGGTGTTGGCAGAATCCAGTTCTACAATTCTGTAGGACTGAGGTCCCTGTTTCTTGCTGGCTGTTAACCAGGGGTTATTCTGAGCTGCTGGAGGTTGCCTACATCCCTGCCTTGTGGCCCTCTTCCTGCATCTTAAAAGCCAGCTGCAGTGGCCTTCTCACCCTGCATATCTCTCCAACCCCCTTCTGCCTCATCTTCCCTCTCCTTCGTCTCCCCTCTGCCTCCCTCCTCCATTGATTCTTTCCCACCAACTCTTCCACCTTCCTCTTCAGCTGCTAAGGTCTCATGGGAATTGGACCCACCAGGTAATCCAGGGTAATCTCAATATTTTAAGGTCTAGTGATTTGCAATCTTAATTTCATCTGAAATGAGGAATCATTTCCAGCTCTTCAAGTAGCGCCTGGTTTAGTGTTGGATGGGATAACCAGGGACGAGGCTCTTGGGGGACATCTTTGTCCCTAAACACTGCCTGCCACATTTGGTACCACCGAAGATCCATATCTCAGCTAATCCATGTTCCTACCATCCAAGAAGAGCTTCTGCAGATAGCATGACTCCCAGGTGCTTGCCAAGACTGGCCAGGTATCTGCAGCCCTGACTGGGCTGGGCTGAGGGCAAGGTCTGAAGTTGATAGTCACGGTCGGTGCTAATACCAGCCTGGCCTGTGCAGTGGGTGCTTGCCTTCAGTATTTTTGCTAATTGTCTCACGCTGTAGCACTTCACTCTGGGGTCTTGTTGGGGAAGCCAGAGCCTGAAGCCCCCAGGTGGCTAACTTCCCCAGCCTCTGAGAGGCAGGCCAGGACTAGCAAGATGCTGTTCTCCTGTCTGCCTCTGCCTGTACTTAAACTTCAGTCTCTCTGGGCCTCCATGTCATACAGCAGGAGGCTGTCAGAATGCTTCGCGTGGCTCATGACTCCAGGCTGTGCAGACAGGAGCTTGTGAAGCCCAACAGGGGCTAAGGCAGGAACTGTCCTGTTTCCACATAGCGCTTGGTGTCCCTTTGTTTAGGAGAAGGACCACCCCGGGTGTGGGGGCCAAAGGAGCGTCAGCTCCCAGGAATGAGGTGCTGAGCAGCTGCAAGCAAGATGGTTCTGAACATTATCAAGACATTTGTTCTTTGCATGAGTTGTTTTGATCCATTTTGTTGAGTTGTGCTCATTCCCTCTGGCTTTATGGTTAATTGTGGAAGAGACTGTTCTCTGATTCAGCTGAATTCCTGCAGGGTCAGTGGACCAA